GGGGGGGTGCAGACGGAGCACTGAGGGAATGCTATTTTCAAAATCAAGCTAGTTTTCCAAAATGACCAACCCTGCCTTGAACAAGTGAAAATAATAATAAATGTGTTTTTGTGCTGCAGGGTCAGCCGGATCATCAGAGCGAGGATGACGACAGAGACGGACCCAAACACGTCTTCTCCTTCAGCTGGCTCAACCAGAAGTGACACGCCTCCATCCCCGCTCCACTCCATATTACTTTACTTTACTATTCACGAGCCACAACAGTCTGTGTTTTAGATATTTCATGATAGATCATGTGACAGATCGAAGAGGAGGATGAAGGTTAGGCCAGTCTGGAAGGACGGACTGAAGGGGGGGCAGAGGGAGACTCAGGGTGGGGGGTCAGTCTCTGTACTTGTGCCCGAGCTGATCAAGGCCCAGACTGTTCCTAGAATAAGACAAACAAGATGAAGGAGGGAGGAAAGAGGGAGGATGGATGAGAGGAAGGATAGATGAGAGGAAGGAGGGAGGATGGATGAGAGGAAGGAGGGAGGGAGGATAGATGAGAGGAAGGAGGGAGGATAGATGAGAGGAAGGAGGGAGGATAGATGAGAGGAAGGAGGGAGGAGGATAGATGAGAGGAAGGAGGGAGAATAGATGAGAGGAAGGAGGGAGGATAGATGAGAGGAAGGAGGGAGGAGGATAGATGAGAGGAAGGAGGGAGGATAGATGAGAGGAAGGAGGGAGGAGGATAGATGAGAGGAAGGAGGGAGGATAGATGAGAGGAAGGAGGGAGGATAGATGAGAGGAAGGAGGGAGGATAGATGAGAGGAAGGAGGAGGATGGATGAGAGGAAGGAGGAGGAGGATAGATGAGAGGAAGGAGGAGGATAGATGAGAGGAAGGAGGGAGGAGGATAGATGAGAGGAAGGAGGGAGATAGATGAGAGGAAGGAGGAGGATAGATGAGAGGAAGGAGGGAGGATAGATGAGAGGAAGGAGGGAGGATAGATGAGAGGAAGGAGGGAGGATAGATGAGAGGAAGGAGGGAGGATAGATGAGAGGAAGTGGTCCTGGTTTGGGCTGACCTTTCTCAGCATGTCGTGTTTTTCAGAGACCACTTGAGATTTTTAAAAGTGGTCGGTTTGTTTCTTCAGTTTGAATAAAAAAGAGATGAATAAATGATGTTTTGTGAATAAATGTTTTGTGAATAAATGATGTTTTGTGAATAAATGTTTTGTGAATAAATGTTTTGTGAATAAATGTTTTGTGAATAAATGATGTTTTGTGAATAAATGTTTTGTGAATAAATGTTTTGTGAATAAATGTTTTGTGAATAAATGTTTTGTGAATAAATGTTTTGTGAATAAATGATGTTTTGTGAATAAATGTTTTGTGAATAAATGTTTTGTGAATAAATGATGTTTTGTGAATAAATGTTTTGTGAATAAATGTTTTGTGAATAAATGTTTTGTGAATAAATGATGTTTTGTGAATAAATGTTTTGTGAATAAATGATGTTTTGTTATGAAAAGAGAAGTTTCCTTTTTTCTCCGCGGCTCACCTGCAGACTGAATAAATGAACCGTCTACAGAATAATAAAGAGGAGAAGAAGAAAAGAAACATCAGATCCACGACTTGTTGGTGAAATCGTTTTTATTTCAGTAATTGAAAAATCATCTGAGCTGGATGTGAAAACAACAAGGTGTGTGTGACTTCCTGTTTGAGGCTCAGAGCTTAAAGCTGATTGGTTCCCTGTGTGTTTGTAAATCTTCGATATGTCGGTGTTTGATTCAGAGAGCCAGACGTCCTGTGTGTGTGTTCGGGTGGGGGTCTAACACAGACTGACTCCAAAGGCTCTCACAGGGTCAAACATTTAAAACAAATCAGAAGTCCATTGTTTGAGTGTTTTTTATTTCTTCCCGAGCTCGTCCATCATTCTGCGGTTGCTGTCCGCCTGAACGGCGAGCTGCTCCGCCCGCGCCATCTCCAGCACCTCCCTCAGGAGGTGAAAGGTCAGGTCCAGAGAGATCGGGGGCTCCTCGGACCTCTTCCCCTTCTCAGCGCTCTCCTCCTCCTGCTCCGCCCGAGCCTGCAGGAGGCGCTGTGTGAGCTGCAGCAGAGCCCGGTTCACTGCAGAGGAGGAGGAGGAGGAGGAGGAGGAGGAAAGGAGGTCCAGACCAGAGGAGGATCCTCCACCTCCCCCCAGCTGGAGGGAGAACTCCTCACCCAGGTGGAGGAGCAGCGGTCGGGGGAGGAGCTGGTGGGGGCTGATGGAGGAGTCAGCGGGACGACAGTATGCAAGGCAAGGCAGGAAGGCACCGACCAGAGCAGAGACACACAGCAGCACCTTCAGCTTCATCTCCTCTCACAGGGACA